ATGGATTACTGACTAGTCACAGAAGGTCTCATCAGATACTTTTTCATTTTCCCACACCAAACTATCCCTAGTAATGTTATTAAAATGGAACCAATGATGACAGATTCTTATCCAACTAGAAATATAAATAAAATAATATATGAGTGAGAAGGTATGAGTCCGAAGAGGTTTCAGTGAGAAGATCTGAGTGAGAAGATTCAACAGTCTTTGTCTTCATCTCCCGCTCAAACAAAGAGGTGTCAGTATTGTGGAGCTGCAATGGTGCTTCGGGTTTCAAAATTAGATAAAAATCGAGGGAAGCCATTTTGGAAGTGTCTAACCTCCTATGTAAGTTTTCATTTCCAGAATATGTATGTGGGTGAAAAAAAAAACCTAGGTCTAACTCTAACAGAATTATTTTGCATATATGATGCCTGCAATTAGGGAGCCACCAGTTGCAATGGATTCAAATGGGTTAATGTAACCTCCGTTGAAGCAGAACAGCAAGATGACATGTATGATGCTACAGTGCTGAATATGCTGAAGTCCATTAAGGACTTGGTATTAGTTTTATTAGTTGTATCAATTGTCATATTATTTGTTCTTTGAATGACTAATTAAGTGCATGGTTTCAAGAATTGTAAAAATTCTCCCCAAAAAGACATGTTGCACGCACCACCAATGAGTTTTCAAACCCATTTTGTAATTTTTGTTCTTGAAACAGGTGGATTGGTATTGAGTTTAAATTATTGTTTGAAACAAAAACATTTATTTGTCTGAAGCAAAAAATTTCCAATTTCCAAGACATACTTTAAAAAAATAAAGTCATACGAAGACGATAAAATCACAATACATGGCCAATACGATGCAATAATAAGACAATACATTTTTTTTGAAAATTGCATAATTATTCAGTGTGTATAGATTGTTTATTTGCATATACTTAAAGTTTATTGATTGTTTATTGCATGTAAATTGCATGATATTAAATGTTTATTGAAGGTTTATTGACTATTTACTGCATGTATTTCGCATGTTATTGAACCGATATTGAATGTTTATTGAAGGTTTATTGATAGTTTACTGCATGCATATCGCATGTTATTACTCCAATATTGCATGTTTATTGGGGGCAAAAGTATCACCCAAGTAAGATTTAAGGAGTTAGATTTAAGGGGGGTAAGAAGAACAACTGTTAAGTAGAATTTCTTATTCAATACGACTTCCTTATGGTTGGTGTAATTGGGGACTGATGTATGTTGCATATCCATTGTGTATATATTGCATGTCCAATGTGTGTATATTGCATGTCTATTGCGTGTATATTGCTTCTCAGTTATGTGTATATTGCTTGTCTGTTGCCTGTGTATTGCTGTTTATTTCCTTCGTAAGCAATAAACAATCAATACACACGCAATAAATGTAAGATATGCACGCAATAGACAAGCAATATAGACGCACCAATATACATTACTTTTATGCTACTGAGCTGCCCAAAACCAATAAAATAAAGAAAATCAACGAATTTATTAACAGATTATAAAGGAGAGAGGGATTCAAACCCGAGGGGCAGTATGGAACCAATAGGGAGTTTTTATAGCATTGCACCTGGGGACATTTTTTCATGTGTTTCTATAAAGAGGGCACGGTTGAATAAAACATTGGAGGCGAGGCCATAGCTGCATATTCCCCTTACAGAATTACCTTATTAAGATGTAACCCATTGCGATTAAGTCAAGGCAACGGCTTAAAGATTGGGATCTGATATTTGGAATGGTGGCTTGGATAAATGATGACATATCACTTTGCAATGATGTAATACACTTAAAAAGCCATCAGTCCCCATTCACATATGCATTCTTCAAATCCCAATTCACATATGCAATCTTCAAATCCCAATTCAATGCAGTTTGGTTAAGGTTATGTAAATATCGTGAAGGAGTTAGGCCAATATTACACAGATATTTGTTTCATTAAATCCAAAAAAACTTTACACTCCAGATGCACATTCTATGTAATGGGAATGGCATGTGTCTTACTTCAAAAACGCATCTGCCTATCCATTTAGATTGCCCACGTGCAATAGATTTACAGATCCA